TAATAATTCATCAGACCCAACCACGAATGCAATTCTTCCTTACTCTTAGGTTCAGTCATGGTACTTATAGGATCAATCTTTTCTTTAATTGGCTGTATACCTTTGTCACTTATCAAATAACCTAAATACTTAATACTCTCTTTGCAAAATTCACTTTTTTTTATATTTCCAATCACCCCAAACTCCAACATTCTTTCAAACACTCTTTTAAATTTATAAAAATGGTCTAACTTATCCATACCAAAAATTAATAAATCATCTAAATAATAAATGACCCCCTTAATATCAGAAAATATTTCGTCCATAGTCTTCTGGAAATACGCAGTTGATACTGTAAGCCCAAAAGGCAGTCTATTAAATTGAAAAAGACCCTTGTGTGTGGAGACGGTCAAAAATTTGGAAGTTTCTTTAGATACAGGAGTCTGCAGATACGCTGATGAGAAATCTATCTTTGAAAAAAACTTTCCATTACCTACTTTAGCAATTATGTCATTAATCCTTGGAAGCGGATATTCGAACCTTTCTAATTGTGGGTTTACAGTAACTCTAAAGTCAGCACAAACTCTCAACGTATTATCTTTTTTTTTAACTAACACTAATGGAGTGGCCCATTGTGAAAATCTGACAGGCTTAATTACTCCCTGCTGTCGCCATTGTTCTATAGTGTTTTCTAATTCTTCTTCTAACTCGAAGGGCACTCTCCTGGCCTTCACAAATTTTGGCTTAAAGTCATTTTTTAATAAAATGTCTATTTCCAAATTCTTGACTTTTCCAATTCTATCATTAAAAACACAGTCAAATTTCTTAATTAGTTTGTTGATGTCACAACTCTCTTCAAAATACCCTTTTTTAGTAAATAACGATTGAATGACATCATTTTTTTTATAAAATTTCTCAGTATCTTTGAAAGGATTGTCAAAAGTTAAAAAATTCACTCTATCTCCTATCTCATTCTTTATAATAGTGTTTACATCAACGTTGAATTTGATTATGTCAAATTCTTTAATCCAGTCTTGACCACATAGAGGTGGTCCCTCCCCATCCATAGATAAAAATTTAAATATTTAATTGTATTCAAATATTTAACCTTAATATTCGAGACCTGACCAACGACTGTGATAGGAGAACTCTCATAAGAGAATAATTTTTTAGAACAATTTTCCAACTCAATTTCTTCATAATTCTCCAATTTTTAAAAATCTTTAATGGGCAAGGATGTCACCGGAGAACCCGTATCTATCAAAAAAGTAAAATTAAGATTATTAAGTTGCATATTAATCATAAAATCTTTAATAAAATTTATCTTATTCCTTGGCCTCAAATTATATGGCGTTTGTATAATTTCTTGTTTTTTGAAATTGTTGTTGTTGTTGTTATTGTTGTAGTTGTTGTTATTGTTGTAGTTGTTGTTATTGTTGTAGTTGTTGTTATTGTTGTAGTTGTTATTGTTATTGTTAGCCTTGAAAGTCTGCTTGTTCTCTTTCCAAGACGAATAGCCTTGCCAATCGGTTCTATCCTCTCTTCTCCAAGAATCTTTCGCTAAATATGTTTTATTATTATTAATTTCCAACGATTGAAATTTGACAACAATATCCTTTATAATATTAATCTATGTAGTATTTTCTTTTATCAACCTAGTTTTTAGCTTTTCATTACAACAATTCAAAATAAATTGCACCGACAAAAATTCAGGATTGAGCCCCGAGCCATACCCTTTCAGTCTATCGAAATACTCTCTGGAAGATTCAAGTCTGTCCGGTTTTGTATTGAACAACTCCAAAATACGCGTGATCTTGTTCTTTTCGACTTTCTTTTGTACTAAATCTTTCATTTGTTGATATGATAAATTATCAATGTTATCCATGATACTCACAGCCATATCTTTATCCAATGTTTCGAATAATTTATATTTTTTGTAGCTTCATCTATAAAGTTCTCCGCAAGAAATTTCAGATCCAACGTCTTTAACAATACTTTGATCTTTACATCATTCCTATCCTCCACCATATTGAATTGGGAGAAAAGTTCAATTTAGAATAATTTTGATTTAGAATAATTTTGAATATATTATTGAGCAATGGTGGAAAAGTTCAATTTAGAATAATTAAATATATCTTTTATTTATATAATTTAAAAAGAAAGAATTACAAGTTATTATCATACAAGCAAAAAAAAAAAGTAATTTAAAATAAAAATATATATATATTTTTATATATATTCTGTTGCCTTAAGATATGTAACTAAACATTTAAATATAATTATTTAAATATAACTGACATTTTAAATATAAGTAATAAAATAATAGCGTACAATAGAGCACATGCAACACATGGTAAGGATGCCAAATTAGAAATGAATTATAGCTAAAAAATAAGAGTGATATGATGAAAGCAATTAAGATCTTATATATTATTGTATTGTCAATATATATCTCAAAAAAAATTTTTTTATAAGTGCCATATCTTAGCTAATTTTAGAAATGATAAAAAAAATTATAAAATAAATATTAAACGATATATTTACCCGCTTTACTGATGCTAAAATTACGTTTCATAATATAAATTATAAGGTTAAATTATCTAATAAAATAAGTTCTCTACGACGGTTAGTCATTGTTGCATATTCATTTATAATGTGATCTATAGGAATGTTATTAATAACATTTTTTCAATGATCAATAGAGCCAACGAATTTAATCGTTCCTGACCCATTGTCAATCGAATATATGTTTTCACCCCTTTTAAAGCTGAAAACGATCTTTCACATGAACAGGAATTAAAAGGTATAGTTGGGGCAATTTTAAGGCAATTATATAAACGAGGGAATATAGCGATGGGTACAATTTTTATCAAATCTATTATCGATGTGCACTAGGTTCATGTGTTTTATTATAGGTAAAAATATAAATCTTTAATATTGCGTATTCTTCCATTGGATCAGGATATAATGTAAGATAAATGGTTTAATGATATCATTATTTAAAAATTGGGGGGAGGAGGGATGTAAAGCCCTTATAGCTATTAATATATCTGTGTTTTCTTGACAAAATCTCTTTTTTAATTCATTTATCATAATATCCAAAATTGGATAAAAGACATGACACTTATAAAAGGTTTCTGTTTGATCCAATGACATATTATTATATGTCATTGGTTTGATCAGAATAATTAGGAGAAACAATATTATCTATTTAAATAGAATCGTTTAAAATGGTAGAAGGTATATTTGTTCTTTTATTTGTTATTTTTATATTATATAAGTTGCAGAATTTATTTACTTCGGTAAATAATGAAGAAAAATAGGAATTATTTCTTAAATTTGACAAAGAAATGATAAGAGACTCGATAAGATCCGATGCTGTTGATATGTCAGAATATGATTTTTGTAAAAAATAGAAATATTGGAACACATAGATAATAATTTTTGGAATATAAACACACATAATTGTATCATATTGTAAAAGAATATATAAAATTCCATTTGCTTTCACCATATCACCATGCTTTATATTTTCTAGATAAGAAATAATTGCAGGGAAAGTGTTTTTTACTGCCTCTATTGTTCTAATATGGGATCCCCAAAGTGTAGAACTCAAGGCAACAATATTTTTCAAGAAATTTGTTATGATGGATAATAGATATTGAGAAAAAAGCATGAATAGATTCTAATACATTAAAAAACTTTCTAGACTGAGGTAAATATTTGCATGCTGAGATCAATACAAGATTGAGTTTATGTGCATAGCAGTGCACATATATAGCCATTTTGTGATTTTTGCGATATCTTTCCTGGACTCCTGAAAGATGCCCTTTCATAACACTGGCACCATCATAAGCTTGAGCAACGCAAATCGCATTTATAGAATTGTTATTTAAGGTTGATATCAATGTCTTTGTTAATGATTCTGCATCTAAGTCTACAACTTTTTCAAAAGATATAAAAGATTCCTTTGGTGTTTTTGTTTAATCAACATATCTAACACATATACTAAATTGTTCATATGAGCTAACATCACGAGTGTCATCAGCCATGACAGCAAAATAACCTGCCTCCCTTATTTCTGAAGCTATGTACTTTAAGATTATGTTTCCCGCTGCAGATAGCATTTGATTTTATGATGGAGGTGAGCAATAATGAGCATTGCCTGGTGGCTTATATGCCATTAAAAATGAATCATACTCTTTCAAACAGTTTAATATTTCACAATAATTACCTTGATCATTGCTTGTCTTACTTTCATGATGTCCTCTAAGGGGAAGTTCTAACTTACCACATAGTATTATAATTTTGAATAATCGTTTCAAATATTCTCTTCTTTCCATTATTGCTGATTTAGTTAGAGCTACAAATTTTTCTTTAATGGTCCCGTCTATTAAAGATTGTTTAAAATGGTTCCAGAGAATCACATTCGTTGCATGACCATTTGTTGCTTCGTGTGTTAAGAATTCTTTTACCTTACGAAATTTTTGCTAACCTATATCAAAGAGATAACCTTTTTGAGGTTGTGTGGGAAAATTACGACAAGGAAAACAAAAAATAGCATTTCTGGTAATGCTATATTCTATCCAAGGAAAGGATTTGTACCACTGAGGTTGAAAACATCTTCTATCTTTCCCCAATCCAGTATAAGGATATGCACCTAATATTGGTTGCATAGGTCCAGTTGTTTTAGTACCCAGATCAAGCTCTTCTAAAAAAGTAAAAATATTAATCTGAATTAAAATCATTGCTTTTAAATTATGACAAATATATATTTGAAGAAAAATATTGTTAAAATAAAAATAATACTTGTATAAGTTCTTCTAAAAAAGTGACAAATATTAATATATAAATTAAAATAATAATTTTTTTATGAAAATTATGGCAAATATTATAAATTTGAAGAAAAATATTGTTATAATGAAAAAAATACTTGTATGGTTGTCACTTTTAGATTGAGCCATGCGTATAGCTTTTATTATTTTATAAATATATCTTATATTAAATTTAAATTAATTTACCTATTTTTTTCTTTTCTACTGTCCCTACATTAGTCCTCTCATCAATAAGCCTTCTTTCTTCATTAACCAAACAATCTAAATAAGATTAATTTTAAAATGTATTTCATCAAAAGTAATTTGTTCCAATACAACTCATACCTTTACATGGATTACTGCTATCAGATTCCATGCCTATATAAAATTTTATATTTAATTATATTAAAAAACATCATGAGATATCTATACATTGGATCTCAGATATATTACCAGATTGACCCACAGGTTTAACTTCTATTATATAAAAAAATAATATTAAATATAAATTAATTTACCTATTTTTTTCTTTTCTATTGTCCCTACATTGTCCTCTCATCAATAAGCCTTCTTTCTTCATTAACCAAACAATCTTAATAAGATTAATTTTAAAATGTATTTCATCAAAGTAATTTGTTCCAATCTCATACCTTTATATGGATTACTGCTATCAGATTCCATGCCTATATAAAATTTTATATTTAATTATATTTAAAAAATTAATACATCCTGAGATATTTATACATTGGATCTCACATATATTACCAGATTGACCCACAGGTTTAACTTCTATTATATAAATAAAATATTTTATATTAAATATAAATTAATTTACCCATTTTTTCTTTTCTACTGTCCCTACATTAGTCCTCTCATCAATAAGCCTTCTTTCTTTATTAACCAAACAATCTAAATAAGATTAATTTTAAAATGTATTTCATCATATAATTTGTTCTAATACAACTCATACCTTTATATGGATTACTGCTATCAGATATATAAAATTTGATATTTAATTATATTTAAAAAATTAATACATCCTGAGATATCTATACATTGGATCTCATATATATCTACAGATTGACCCACAGGTTTATCTTTTATTATTTTATAAATAAAATATCTTAGATTATATATTCATTAATTACCTGTCTTTCTTTTTTTTGGTTTTCACAATTTATATCTTTTAGAACCACAATTAATCGTCTTTCATTATCTAAGGTATAGTTTGAAATTAAAAAACTGTATTAAATTACTCACCACATGTTTTGTTTTTTAAAAAATTTTGATAGATGAATTTTTCACATGCATTTTAAGGGATAAATAGTGATTTTGAACTCGATAATTAAAAATTAAATTATAATTATCAATTAATAAATGATTATATTTATTTAATTAGGGTTTTAAAATAATTAAAATAATAAAAATCAATTAAACTTCAATTTTTAATGCTAAATTGATGTTTAAACATTATGCATGGTATTGATATTCCATTTTTAATACAGTTGATTGCAAACTAACATAGTAAAGATATAATTTATACGTATTAATCTAATCTAATAATTAAAATAGTAATTATTTAATAGACATTATGGTTCTACAGAGCCTTGAAGGACATAATGGATCTAAACTTAAATTTGAAGCAGTTCCTAAGGCTAAATAAAAACAAAAAATCTATAAAAAAATTACTAAAAATTAAATCGAACTACCTAAACCTCTCATAATTTTTTTTTCTGTATTTTTCAGGTTATTTGATTTCTTCATCTCTCAATTTTACCTCTTGATTTTGTCTTTCACCTTTTCTGTGAATTACTTACTTCACTGACTTCAGCTTTTATTTATCTTATTGACTATGTACAAATTTAAATCAGTCCGTCCCATATTTTTAATTACATATACGTTGTACTTCTATGCATTCCCATTATATGAGTTAAGATATTAATGACATTTTTGAGGAATAGTTTGTGATTTGCGTTTCCTATGTGGGCTAAAATTTTTCTTTGGCTCTTTTTAACTTAGTTTTTGGGTATGTTTTTGTAATCTTTCCATAGTTTTTGAGTTTGTAATGTTTCTGGGGTAGAGGGTATCCTCTTTTGTTTATGAGACATTTATTTGTTTATAGTCATCTGTTTCTTTTATTTTATTTTATTTATCTATTTTCTCTTCCCTAGTTTCTTTGGTCTTCTAACATGTCCGCCCCCTCCATAGACTAATATAGAAATAGTGGATGTGTCCTCAGTCTAGAAATTACCGATTTCTCTCTTATCTTTCATACTTTTTGTATACATTTAAAAGTTTCCACTCGCCTTTGTATTCTAATTTCTCTTCTTCTTTGCAACTACTTCCATTATTAAGTATATTTCTTAAATACATTGTGACTACATTTACCCTGTTTCTATCTATAAGTTTTTGAAGTGATTACTTGTTTTTCTTGGGAAAAATAAGGAAAAAAAAAACTTTTTTTCTTTTATTATCGCTAGTTAACTAGATCTAACGTCTTTAACTTTTTCAAAACATTACATCTAAATTGAAGTCTACATAAAATACATTGGTCGTTGCCAGTGTTTCTTCTTGTTTTTATTTTTATGATCTTTATTTATTTAGGAGTGGCAAGAGTTTAGCCTTGTTTTACTCCTTTTTACCTTGGAGGTAGGGGATTTTCTTCGTCATTGATTTCGAAGCACAACATGTATTAGTGGTTTTCTGGATCTGGAAGATGTTGGAGTCTTCCCTTTTCTGACAAAGCTGCATGGTTAACATTATCAATAGCTCTGTTATAATTTACAAATGTAAAGCAGAAGGGGGTTTGTACTTAGTTTTTCTGCATGATTATTTTTCTAAATTAATTTTTGGCTCCAGTATTTTCTTTTCTTGGCCTGTATATACTTATGTATTTTTTTTTTTTGGGGGGGGGGGAGTTTTCGGTGTGGGTGATATGCTTGTGGTTTTTGAGTGAACCAAAAAATTTTTTTCCATGCTATAGGATGTGATGGCTATAGCTCAATAACCCTTTAATTTCTGTGGTCTTAGTTTTTTTGGGTAGTTACTTAGGTAGGATTTGATCCTTCCCACTGCAGTAGTTCCGCTCTCCCATATTTTATTCAATGAGGGCAAATAGGTAGCGATATTGTTATAGGTGCTATTTTTTGGTTTTTCTGCTGTGATATTATCTAGCCCCAGAGCTTTGCTTTTTCTTAGTGTTTTTTTCTTAGTCTTTGTCCACTTGTTATTTCATTTATGGAGAAACCAGTCGACAGGGGGGTGGCGAGGTTTGTAAATATGTTTTGTTGGTATAGTCTTTCCGTGAGTGATAGACTATCATATAACAATCATGCCATAATGCCTTTTGTTAATCCTGGCCAACAATTACTTTTCCATTTCCTAAAACTTACGGAGCTGGTTCCTATTTCTGCGTCATAGTTTCCTTTCTCTCATATCTTTATCATTATCAAAGACCTTTTTCGCTATATAATCTATCTATCACTCCATAGAGTATTTTGTTTCTCTGGAAAAAGAAAAAAAACCGTTTGTTGTGTGGTGTTCGTTGCTGGATAGTCATAAACCTATTACTGACTAGTTTTTGCCTATTCACAGGAATCTTCACCTATTTAAACAATTTGCGGTAAACCCATTTAGCTTTTCCTTATTTTCATGAATAAATTCTATTCTCAATTGATATGAACACATTCTCAATTATTGTTAGTAACTATCAAGGCTTACATTAGATGTTAAACTTAAAATTAGCCACCACCCACCCTTAAAGTAATTAAATTATTTTGGCAGTTCATGGGTATAGGCTTTTGTTTTGCCCATTTCTTTTTGTTTATTAGCCTATAGACGTTTAAGCAACAGTTCTCGGACTGTTGCGCGTACAAGTACGTGCGGCTTGCCCACAAACGTGTGAAGGGCTTCTCATTTTTTCTCCCCTTAATTAACTATCCAGTTTGATGGATTTTTGAGGAAAACCTAGCGTAGATCTGTTGTATCCACAACCAGAGGGCGAACGCTTTTATCACGTATCACGTAATATTTATATTATTCATCATCTCTTTAAAATATATTTTATGATGTCCTTATCAATATTTTATAGATTTCTGTAAAATATATAATTCGCTATATTGGTAAAAATACTTTTTGTCATATGATAAGTGATAATTAGATATACTGTTAATCTACGACATATAATATTCCACTGTTTGTATTGTGCTTTAATTTTTTTATTTAATTTATGATTGAATTATATCAATAGTTTTATAATTATATTTTACTTTTATTAAAATAAATATATTAAAATTACTCACTTTATAAAAAATTATATTTGATATATTATATTATTTAGTAATTTTATGGATATATTATTAATAATTATAATACATTTCATTTTTGTCTTAAGACTTATCTTTGGCTTATATTATATTTCTTAAAAAGCATTTTTGGTTCATTTTTTTTATTTATAAATTCTTTTTTCCAAAAATGTATAAATTATGATGAATAGTTTTATAAAAAAATATCAACTTTTACATTCTTTCTTTAAAATTATTGTTTAAGATATATGCATACATTTTTGGGGGTCAGAAATTAAGGAGGGGGGGGGCTAAGAGGGATATTTTTTATTAGCTTAAAATGATATTCACAAAAGTGATAAATTTCTGAAAAGGGGGGATTTCCCCTTGGCCCCCCCCCCCCCTTGGCTACGCCTGTGTTAAATATGGATCAAAAAAATTAATGTCCAGTCTACAGCTTTGCCTTAGAGAAAATGAAACAAACATAGCAGAAGTTAATATATTTTTGACAACTCACATATTTTTACCTCTATCAGTATATTTTATATCTATAATCATATAGATTAATATTTAATATATTTGATAACTCAATTTTACATTTACTTGTATATTTTATATCTATATTATAGACTTAACAATGATAATTTTTATTCTTGACAACTCTATTAATGTATTTTTTATGCATCCATACCATAATAATCTTAAAAAATATTGTTTCATTTTTTGCAAATTAATTTCATTATATTAATCCTCTATAACTGAATAAATTATTGATTGCTAACGAAATATAGGGAAATGAAAAGTGTTTTAATTTTTGTTAGTTATTAATTTAATTTAATAACTTAATCTTAATATCCCTATTGGGTTTTTTTTATATATTAAATTTCCCAAATTTATTTTTCTTAAAATAATGTGTTAAAAATATTCAGATGAAATTTTAATCTTTGTATACCTAATATTAAAAATATATATTAAGAATATAAAACAATCCTAAATTAAAATTATGAAGTATGAAAAGGTAATGAACATTTTACTCATCTTATACTTTGATTTCTAAAAAGGCGTGTGGTGTGGGAACACTTGTTTATAAAATATTAAAATGTTCATCTTTATTATCTTCTATACGCTATATATATATTATTTATAAATATAAATTAGAATATATATAATTAAAACGAAAAACGAAAGCTATCAAAAGTTAAATTATAAAAGATTGAATTGTAAAAAGTTAAATTGTGCAAGGTTAATATGTAAAAGGTTAAATTGTAAGTCGAAAGGCAAAAATATAATAAAAGTACAAATTTGAATATTTATTATATAACATTCTCCTTCTTCTAAAAAGCCTTTTCATAATATCTTCTAAGCTGTCATAGAAAGTTTGATGTTTAAATGGTTCATCGTTATGGTTGTTAAGTTGTAGCATGTCATTGCGATCGTCGGCTTGTCCCAATCGTCGGTTTATTTAAATTGAGTTTGCACGTTGGTTTGTTTAAATCGTAAGT